ACCATTCCGATTACAGTACAGCTTGACGCACAGGGCGTTGGTCCCACAATCAATGAACAATAGATGGAAACACAACACCCACGAGTTAGCTGTCTACAGTTAAATAAATACAATCCATATCTGGCAAGCACAATATTAGATTCTCAGAGAGCATGGCTAAGCATGCGTGGAACCTAGAGATGGACGTTCCCTCGACGTTATCAGCACCCAGGGCTGGAGCTCGGAGGGATTTGAAGCGTAAGCACTAGCGCGGTCTATCCATGACTCGCCCCAAAATTTTGCCTGGGCGACACAACATTTAGCGTGTAACGTGGACCTCGTGTTAATTTTACGCTCTCTGTAGACGCCCCTTATAGATTGTGTCATTTTCACCGTTGTGAGTGCCCATTTGCTGAGCTGAACACCCCCTGGTCAGAACTTGCATCGATACCCTTGTTCGGTCGAAGGGCGATGGTTGTTCGCCCTCCTTTTTCGACGCAGAAACAATCCAATTAGTAGATTGCTGGGAAGATCTCTTAGCCACCCAATCACACTAAGAGTTCTACTAATTACAGAGCTTATTTCGCCGTTGTTAACGGGCGTTCACGTACTTGCATGACTACAAATCAACGATACATCCGGATTGCTCAACAATCCCCAAGGTCCTGAATATATGACTGCTCTAAGTTTCATAGAGTAAGGTTATACGGATATAAGCATCTTGCTAGATCACGATGGCTTGATTCTTCAGCAATAGGGTAGGAGTAGGCCGAGAAGTGATCAAAGCATACTACATGCCATTCCAACGAGACAAGTAGTAATCATGGCTGATGTAGAGCCACGGATATATAAGCACAATGTGCAGTTTGGGGCTGAAGCTGTCCATCTCAATAATAAGAGGATGGGGTAGGTCTCAGATTTGTTAGGTGGCGTCGACCAGGATCCGAGAAAAAGCATCACACAAATGGCATTAATCCCATGCACGGGGTCTCATTATTATCATTACAATTCCTATTATTGCTATAGTAATCCTTGTTATTATCCCGGTTTCAACTCAGCTCGTATGGCCCCACCCGGGATGCGGATGAAGAGGGCATTTCGTGCACCATTCCCGTAAGGCTTTCCGTAGGCAGCTCGGAAACTGTCCGCGCGCTCGGGGAGACACTTTGGTACTCCATGGCCTGAGGGTGTCGAGTTATTCGACGGCGTAGGAAGAAGATCACCACGGCTGCAATAACAAGAACGCCTGCTACCGCGCCGATTACGGGACCCGCAATCCACGCCTGGCTCTTCCCGGAAGAAGAGGTGGATGTTGAAGACGGTGAAGCGGTCGATGTTTGGGTCCCAGAAGCGGTTTTTGTGGCCATAGAGGTGATTGGGGCGGTTGTTGCACTGGTTGTTGAATCTATAGGCAAGACCATCAGTGAGATTTGGTGTCTCTGGGACAGATGAGATTCAGGTTTACCTGAGGTTGCTGATGTGGTTGAGGTTGTCGTAGCGGGCAGCTCTCGATAGATTGTGTAGGCAGACCAAAAGTCAGCGCAGAAGAGGTTATATGCGGATGGGGTGGCGTAGGGCTCGGATTGATAGATGGTCATGGTTTGGCATGACATGGACTCGGAACCACTAGTCAAACACAAAGTCGGGTTGTATATCAGCGACAGCCCATCTTAACGCATACATTTGATAGTTTCAAACATACCAGTCCAAGGTTTTATTGTCGACATTGTAGTAAAGTATGTTCCCACTACATGCGGTGGCCCAGGAACAGGTGACAGAAGCAGTGCAGCCGGCTGCATATTGTCCGGAGGTCGACCATGTGCCCGCATCAGTTAGGGCTTGGGCTGCAGTCAAGCATCGGGGTAAGCGACAATGTTCAGGTCAATCAAAATAGCACTGAAATAGCGAACGAGTACTGACTGGTCGTTCCAAGATACCATCCCATAAAATGTGGGCTGTCTTGAATAGAAGTATTCAACGACGTTGTTGTCTGACCAAGGCTCCCCGGCAGCGAGAGTAGTATCACCCAGGAGAGTACCTGCCATGCCGCAGGAACTTTGGGTATCAAGAGTCGCCCCATCATTTTAAAGACCCGACAACTCAATTGGATCCTTGAATATCCTCGCCTCTCGTATGGAGGATGTGCTTGGGCCAAACGAAGGCTATCAGATTCAACGGGTTATTCATTTTCCAGTGCGGAGATTGCCCTTATGTAGCCGTTCCTTGCCCAACGTCGCTAAAAGGCACTGGTAGTGTTCCTACCCCGACTGATGGGGGCCTTAGCGCAGAGAAACCTCGCGTGGCCATGATACAGCCACACTTTAATGCTCGAGCGACTCACGGGTATGGCATTATAACCATCCGGTGAGACTACAGGCCTCTCAGGATTTTGACTAGTTCAACTAGCGGTGGGCCGGTGCCTTTCAAGTAAATTAAGCCTCGCGACTCCCTTCTCCGGTGACACCCGGCACTAAGCAAGCCTAAGGATCTTTTCGCCCTCCAATCAAGACGAACCGTTGGCGACCCTGGTGGAAGCACAAACTCAATCACTCAATTTCCCTGACTGTTAGCGCCCGCGCTAATCCATGATGGAGGGATCCTCGAACCGTGGCAATAATAGTAATCCCACCTTGTTCTTAAACAGGTGGACGCTCTCCGCTGGGCCTGGAGCGCCGAGAATATTTCTCATCTCCTTTCACCTACAATACCCCCATGAAAGCTCTTCATCTTGCACACCTTCGATGCTCCCTTCTACCTTAAAGTCATCGCGCTATGGGCGCTTTGTTATCTTGACGATCCCGCTGCTCGTGTTCAGCTGCCTGCTCTTCCTGACGTGGGACCCACTGCCCGGCCGACTCGCTCGTCAGCAATCGACGTCACAGTCCGATCCGCTATCCCAGGTACCACAAGCAGTTGAGCCACCAAAGGAAGAACCATCGCAACCCAAAACTCCTGTATCTACCAGCAAACCATCCAGCTCAAAACCGACTGCTGACATTGCTGGTGGTGATGCTATCTTCGGTATAACTGACAAGCTTTGGCAATCCGCCAAGGATCCCCACCTGAGCGATGACCAAGACGAATGGATCAGCAGCTGGCTTGAGAAGAACCCCTCTTTCCGATATGAGCTCCTGACTGATACCTCCGCTGCCACGTTTGTCCGTACTCATTATGCCTCGCGACCCGACATTATCGAGGTGTTCGAAACCCTCCCGATCCCGATCCTGCGGGCGGATCTTCTGCGATACCTGCTCGTGCTTGCGGAGGGGGGCGTCTGGAGTGATCTCGACGTCACCTGCGATAAGCCCGTGGCCGACTGGGTCCCCACGGAATACAAGAATGCAAAGATCGAGATGATCGTGGGACTGGAGTTTGATTTTGAATGGCGCGGAGAAGGAACGGAGATCGCATCGCAGTTCTGCAACTGGGTCTTTGCGGCACCCCGCTCATCACGAGTTCTTCAGGTGGTGGTAGACGCCGTAGTGGACAAACTGAAAGAGATCGCCGCGATGAATAACGTGCAGGTAAAAGACCTGACGTTAGAAATGCTGCCTATTGATGTTGTCAATGTGACGGGGCCCAAGATCATGACAATGGCAATCTTGGACAGCCTGAAGCAGCTCCTAGGTCGGACGGTTGATGATCGCGACTTCCATGGAATCAAGAAGCCCAAGCTCATCGGTGATGTCCTTATCATGCCTGGTGTGGCGTTTGCGGCATCCCAGAATGGATATCCCCAGGATCAAGGAGATGCGCTGGTTACGCATCACTACGCGGGCTCGTGGAAGCAGGCAGATGCGGAGGCGAAGGAGAAGAAAAAGCAGAAACAGAACGGGCGGGATAAAGTCGTATAGAGTATCATGGGCATTGGATTGTTAGGATTTGTGTTCTGGGATTGGCGTTGGTTGCGCGTTTAGCATTTTGTACAGTGGCGTACTCATAATTCACCTTTATCTGATGGCGGCTCATTCTGCTCCTTTTTTCCGTTGGTAATTTCGCTCAGCAAAGAGAGCAAGACGCCTATTTGCTGATCTTGGTCTCATGAATCCCACATGGTGTTGTATATTTGAAGTTGTGCCATTTCGGTTTTCCACCGGTGATCATGGTCCCGGATGATGATTACAAGCGCCGTCACTAGTAGCTCTGCTTCGTCTACATCTACTAACTAGTAGTAGCGCAGACCTTACGTGTTCATATGACTGGTAATACGAAGCTCTCAACACTTCATTGAAGGGCGTCCGCAGAAGTCATTTAGATACGTTGGGATGTGAGGTTGATGACTGTGACTATTTTTGTCTTTCCGTACCCACTCAACTACTTCGCTGGCTCCGAATTCATTAACGCATTCAAGCAGTAAATAGTGCGTCCAACTGACTATATCAATCAGGTCTAGGAATGTATAAGCACATACGACCACAGGGTGTGGAAAATAGGGCTTCCCGTCCGCTCAGCCGTACTCAAGCCACACGCCGGGAGGTTAGTAGTTGGGTGGGTGACCACCAGCGAATCCCTTCTGTTGTATGTTTTTTTGTGCTGCAAACATCCTCCTGTGTGCGTGGATATGTGATGTACTGCCGATAGTCTGTATTTAACAGCTCTGTAAGCTGAAAAGTCTACTAGCTGCTCAGCTCAGGGGCGGGTTACTTGTCGCTACTTCAATAGTCCCCCATCATGTCTACTCACTCTCGTGACGGTTCCCCAATCTCTGCTCTAGGCGGGCTACTGTTAAAGAACCGCAATTGACAAGATGAGGTTTGGGATGTATATCTCCTTGCACCACCAAGCTTATCCTTGACCATCATCTTCTCAACGTCTTCGTGGGGCAGTTAATATAACAGAATGGAAAGTTGGTTCATTATGTCATCCCAAATCATAAAGACACCGCTTTATAAGTGGACCCACAAAGTTTGTTAATGCCACCCAGAATGGGAAAAGGAAGGCTATCAAAACGTAATAGTCCCTATAAGAAAGAAACATGAGGGCGAAAAGATTGAGACAAAAATAACAAAAACCAAAACAAATGACCGATCCCGGGATCGAACCGGGGACCTTCTGTGCTCGCAGATTATGTAAGACAGACGCCATGAAACCACTAGGCCAATCGGTCTATTCGCATAACCGGGTTATCCTCTATTTCCCTTGACATCCGGTTGCTATTGTCGCCACGCAACTTGATTTTTGTTCAGGACGTAGACCACGTAGAGGCTAATGTTAGTGCTCTCTTGTTGGCGAGTTTTAACTGCAATACGTTGGGTGCTTGGACTGCTTCACTGATGCATCCGGGTTAAAAGAGCCAGCTGAACTAATGCTCAACCGTTGGCTCAACATTCATATCGACATTGACCGAATCCTCGGAAAAGTCAACCTTGCGCAAAATTGATTCAAGCGCAAGGGATGTCATGCCCGTAGCCTGAATCATGTGACCATTGGTGGGCCCCAGTGCTGACATAAGTCGTAAACAAAGATCCACATCAACTTCCAAATCCAGAAATTGGAAGCATTAGTCTTCTCCATTCCTTCCATGCCATTGGGCTTAGAGCTAGTCTTGATTAGCTAGCCGCTATTATTCCCATTTTGTTCCATCTACAATCGCCAATATGCTACCCGAATTCCTGCAGAGTAGCTATGCCCGCTACAAAGCAGACACCAATACCTTCGCAACATGGCTACTAGAGACTGCCAACAAGTGTGGCTATGAACCTACCCTTTCTGCTACCGTCCCTCCCGCGAACAAGAGCAAGCGTAAGGGTAAACCGGATGGCTCGAACGAGCATCCAATTCAATACAGTGCTACTACCAAAGACCTACAAAAGTTCGCCGAGGTAATTGCCGGTTCTTCTCTCAGCGTGCCGAGATCAGTCCTCACCATCGCGAAACGCGCCATCAAATTGAGGAAAACAGTCACTTCATGGTTCTTGGGTCGGGGCGACATCGCGAACAATAAGCGACATGCTCATTTCATCACTGCGCTGGAGCAAATCTGCGAGAATCTTGAATGGAAGACCACCGAGCCCTCCAAGCCAGATGCTAAGCAGCCACAGTCAGCGCCTGAGGCTCACGATGACGACGCCGATGCTGACAGGTTCTTAAATAAGTTTGCTGTCCTCACGGTAGAGGAACCTGAGGATATCCCAGAAACTAAATCGGCACCCGCAGAATCAAAGAAGATTGTCAAGGTCACCGTGGTGGAAGACGACAATGAAGCGGCCGACTCCTATTTTGGCCACTTGTTCTTCAAGACCCTGTGTTTACTCCAGGACTTGGAAAACATGCGGAAGTTTATTTCCATCACCTGGTCGGAGTACCGGGATAGGAAAATCGACCTTATGAACGCCGCTATCGTGACGGACAATGCGTTGCAACTTGCCCAAGATATGGTGAAGGAGGTCGAGGCTGACTGGCTCGCTACTCGTACTTCGCAGAAAGATGATATTCAGAACCTTGTCTACAATCTCGCTGTTATTCGTCGGGGCATCTCCGCGGCTCCATCCACGGAGATTGGCCTGCCATACAACAAGAACATGGCTGATGTAGCTGACTGGTGCTACGTGCCAACTAGGGTTTTGCTCGACGCCTTTGCTAATGTTCTCCAGGACAATCACCAACCAGTCTTTAAAAAGGGCTACTTCGGTACATATAACCCAAAGGCGGACAGAGCGCGGATGTCTGTGGGCCAGAAATTCAACGAAGACAAAATCATTCTTCTTTCGATTCTGCCAGAGTTTTGCATGTTTGATACCTTCAAATTCAAGACGCCTACTTCGGACGCGATCACGAAAGGTCTCGTTGAGTTTTCCAGGAACAAAAAGGTTACTCTATGGCTCTGCTTTGCCTCCCAGGTCTTTCTCGACATCCATCATATCATGCGACACAGTACCCTGGGTGCCTTTGGAGACCTTCGCATGTCGGGACTGCGCATTCAGAAGATCATTGATGAGTACCTGAAATTGTCCAAGACACATCCCCAGCCCAAATTTTGGCCAAAGGAGGGCGACGAGGAAATTCGAAGTATAAGTGCCACTGTGGATTCCTGGATTATACAAGACGCGTTCCTCAATTTGCGGGTCCTGTCTGGACTTGACAAAACTGGCTCAGCCCCTGAAAAGCATGCACTCTTATCGCAGCACCCTGTCATTTGCGGACTGATCCTATTCCACCTCAATATTAGAATGCAGTATGTGGGCCAGAAGCTTGTCACCCAATGGTATGACGTCCAACAGCTGGCTTTCTTGCACAACCTCGTTATACAGTATGCAACGCACAAGGACGTGAGATGGCCCGATATGGATGCTTTCATCAAGATCCATGGCGAGTCTCATATCTTCATTGGTTCGCGTCCAAAGACCGCCGGTGAATCTCTAAACAGGCTTGAATTGGCCACAGGCGTCTCATCCGTTGCCAATTTTGCCCGCGATTCCCGGAGTAGACCTTTTCATAAGCCCGATGGCAAGAATCAGCGCTTGCTCAAGCCCACCACTGCAGTTGCGAACTTGTTCTCCTCCAAGTATGTTGAGGGTCTCGCGGAAGATGCCGGGATCGTCCACATTGACCGGATCCTGGACGAGCTCTCACAGCAATCTAAGCTTGAATCATCATCTTGCAAAGAGCTCCACAGAGCTAATGCAGAACTCTCGATTACCCGAAAGTGGTCTAACACCCGCAACATTGACACGCTCCACCTTTTGGCTTTCCTAAAGACCAAGCTTTACGAAGAGGAGCCTGTCATCTTGTACAACTACTTCGGCATGCACAAACGTTCCATCGAGTTACTCCGACTGATCCGACAGAAAGAACACCACGAATTTATTCAATATTTCACAGCCGGGTACATGGACGATGAGTCCTTCATCTCCAACATTGTCTTTCTCATCCACCACGTCGCACGAGGCTCGGCCCAAAACGCACGTGCGATGGGACTTGGATCCGGGGACGTGGAGTTAGTGAGTCGCATTGTCATGAGCTCTGGCGACGTCATGCGTGAATACTTGAAGAAAAACGGTGATGTGGCGTGTAAAGAGCTGAGAGTGTTTTGCAAGAACAAAAAGCCCATTCAAGATGAGGTTATTGACGATGCGGGTGAATCGGACGGGCTGGTGACGTCTTGGCTGCATCTTGAGGATGTTCTGGGTCCGAAGGGCGTGGCCTCGCTTATGACGGGGATCCCGATGGCTTAGTCTCCGACTCTCTCAGGGCACCGACCAAATGCCGACTTCATGCCAAGAAATCCCGCCCCGTCCATTTGAAATCTCTGCCTCATTTGTTCCCGCCAACATATTATGACTCAAACTTTCCATTTTCAGGGTTGAGCAAGGATATGGCCATGGGCTCTAACGATAATAATGTCTTAAATCCTTTGGCGCGCGCCTATCTTATAGTGCTGAGATTGGGTAACAGGCCACTGTGGAGCCCCCAAAGCTAGAATTCATTAGATCCTGAACACTACCACTATCGCCCCCAAGGGCACCGATGCGGCATCTGATCCCACGCCGGGTGATATTAATGGTAAAATGTAACGTACAACGTAGATAGCCATTGCTTCAACTCATCTTTCAAGCAACAGGTTGATAATATTGACACGATGTCGCCATCTTCCCATTTCCATTTGTCATGACTTGGCATTGACTCCAATCACGCAATGTCCACAGCCCCACCCACAATACGAATTCTCCTCGTCCATCCCCAACCCCAAATTTTGCCCAAATATCGAGTCTTCTTCCTTCTGGTTATCAGATCAGATCAACCACGTGGCGAGTGCCAATACAAAGGTTTCATCACCATGGCCTCACCCCAGCCGACTAACCGCTTCCTGTCGGTGGTCCGGTCGATCCCCTTCCAGATCGCTATCGCCAGTGGCGTTTCCTTCACTGCTCCGGGCATGTGGGATGCCTTGAATAACCTGGGAGCTGGAGGTGCCGCAGAGCCGTATGCTGTCTCAGCTGCGAATGCCCTATTGTATGGACTGTTCGCTGTGGTTTGTATCGCTGCCGGTGCCATCAACAACCGTATCGGGCTTCGTTATGGCCTGGCGCTGGGAGCCATCGGGTACCCTATCTACGGTGCCGGTCTGTATACGAACAACTATTCGCCGACCACGTGGTTTCTGCTGTTTGGAAGTGCTTTGTGCGGTATCTCGGCTGGTTTCTTCTGGGCTGCCGAAGCGGCCATCATCATCGGGTACCCTAGTCCCAAGGACAGAGCGTTCTACCTAGGTGAGTAGTTCATCCTAATTCCAATACTTTTCATGGTATCTGACAGCTTGTCTAGCGATTTGGCAAACCGCCAAAGCTGCAGGCCCCATTGTTGGTGGCGCGATCGAACTAGGCCTCAATGCCCAGAACTCCGGCAAGGGAACCGTTAGCGAAAGCACGTACATTGTCTTCATCGTGCTCATGTGTCTCGGACTTCCTATTGGTCTATGTTTAAGTCCAGCGGAGAAGGTCCAACGCAAAGACCGGACTCTGGTTGTCGTCCACACGCAAGCCACGTGGATGGCCGAATTCAAAGCCGTTATCTCGCTGCTCTTCACCCGCCGTATTGCCATGCTGATGCCGGCCTTCTTCATCAGCTACTTCTACAACGGTTTCCAGAGCACCTGGCTGACAGACTACTTTACTGTCCGCTCGCGGGCGTTCTCTTCATTCTTCACCAACTTTGCGGGCATCACTTCTTCCTTCCTCATTGCCACCCTACTGGATAAACAATCCATTCACATCAAGACGCGGGCCCGCGTAGCCTTCGCCTCAATCATTGTCGTGCTCACGGGCACTTGGATTTGGGCCACCATCTTGCAGTACCAGTTCTACTATGAATACACGAACCCGCTCTTTGACTGGTTCAAGGGCGGGTTCGGCAAGACCTACGCTCTTGTTTTCTTCTGGTCTTTCGGTGGCCAGGCTTTCCAGCAGTTCCTTTACTGGCTTGTCGGACAGTATACCACCGACCTTTCGTCCCTGTCTCACCACTGCGGTATCCTCCGTGGGTTCGAGGCTCTGGGACAGACTGTTGCCTGGGCGTGAGTCCCCCACCTACTTCTATCCTCCCTTCCCATTCCTACAAATAGGGTGACTGGGCGAACTAACGAAACTCTTCATAGCATGCAATCCGAAG